TTCCTTATATAGGTGGATTCAGGTCTTCTAGATGGGTTTGTTAGGATTTTAATAGACTAAAACCTAGTTGGTTTTTCCATATAACCAATGGTTTTGTGTTTAGATGCATTTGTAGGAAACATGGAGGCCAAGTTAAGATGTTTTCTATCTTTAGATCTAAAGAGAAAGGTTTTTAACCCTTGATAGGAACCTTCTAGGGATTGGTAAGTGGAAGAACACAAAAACATTAGTTGGTTTTTTACAAATAGGTGTCGTTTTTTAAGTTGACTACTTTGGTCATTTTTTTTTGGCTTCGTCGGAGCCACTCTAACATCAATATTGCTTAAGCCCACCTAGACTTGGTAAAAGGAGTACACACCTTTCAATTGAATCTATTCTTAATTGATTTGGAGGTCTCTAACTCCACATTCAAATGTTTAAAAGTGTCCACTCAAACAACATAATGACTGAAATTGTAAGGTTGACTAACTAGGCACACGATGTTGTGGAGATCAATGGAGAATATGGAATGTAAACATTTGATTTTAAAGGTATTGGGCTATAGAGGGGGTGTTTATCAGTTGAATGGTAGTGGTTGTAACTTTTGGAGCGGTAAAAAATATCACATTTATTCATATAAAAGTGCATACTCGATCAACCAAAAACTAAAGAAGAAGATGCACAGTATCTTGAACAATGCTATTTTGGCTAATCCTTATAAATTAGGTTTTTTATATTTGGGATTTGGTAATTTTTAATTTGATCCCTATTCTTTTGGTTTCTTTTATTTTACTAGTAATTTCTCCCTAACTTCCTAATTTCATTCAATTGTGTCCCTATCAGATTCAATTATCAACCCCAAGTTTGAGCTTCTTTTACAAGTTAATCTTTGATCTCTAATGTGTTTAATTAGATCTCTAGATGACCATCAAACTTTTAATTTTCTTCAATGTAGGCTCTGATTTCACCTGATTCTAGTTGCATGTATTTTGTAAATTGGTCTTTAGTTCATAAATTGTTCAATTAAATCCATATTTGCTCGCTAAACTTTGAATTTTATACAATTAAGCCACTGATTTGACCAATTAAACTTTTAAAAATCCAATTCTAGTCCCAAAACTTTATTTGTTTCAATTGACATCAAAATTGACTCTCAAAAGTTTATTTCTCTTGCGATTAAGCACTTAATAAACACCAATTAAGTCCTTACACACCTAAATAAAGCATTTTCACTAATGGGATTTTAGGTTGCTAATTTGGACATTTTGGTCTACAAACTCTCACTCGGCATTCTAGTCTTTCACTAACAAATTTGGGCAGTCTTTTTTAGGCTTACTTCATATGTATTTCCTTGTATATATTTTTCTTTTTTCTTTTTTTTCTATATTGTTTGTTAAAATGGGTAGCAACCATGGTTATGACTCGTGGAAGATGTTATCATATGGCTATATTTGGATAAATATCGAAATCATGCCACCAAAACTAACTATGAGACAATATACTTTGAAGCCCATTGATTCAAGGTGTATTTCACTACATAAATATGAGTGATAAAAGGAAATATCATTGATGATGGCAATGCATTTCTTTTCATGATATGGTTAGACGAGCTGAGAGGAATTCATTGACAAGAACAATGAGCATACAATAATGAGCCTTTATTGCTTGTCTGGATAACTTAACAATTCCATGAAGGTTGATGATGACATATGCTTAAAGAGTATGGTTCAACTAAAGGCAACTTCATGGTTTATTGACAATATAATATAAGGTCAACACTAGAAAATGTTCTAATGATTACGGGTAAGATGCACACAACTAATCAAATGGTAGTTCTTGAGATAATCTAAGAAGCCGAATGATTAGTTATCCTTTATGATGAATCAAACAACAACACACTTAGGGGAATGGTTGAGCTTGATAAACAATGAGAGTAGTAATCGTTGCGAACAACCCAAGATAAGCACTACACTTATGTTAAAGTGGAGGACTAGCATATGGTAGACTTAAGTGAGTTGGTGAATTAGAAAAATTGAGAATGCTTTGAATGGCAAACAAAGGCACTCTGTGACAATGGAGCATCAAAGAAATGGGGCCTATATTTTAATGAATCAGAGTTGACAAAGAAAGAATCCTTGATCTATGATAGCATGGAATCCAAATTCAAACCCCGTGATTAAGTATCAAGTCAACCCTGCAATTAGAAAGAATCAAGTTCAAACCTTGTTATTAGAAAGATCAAGTTAACCTTATAATAAAAAATCACCAAATTCAAACCCCATTATCAGGAAGTATTAGGTCAACCCTACAATTAGGAAGCACCATGTTCAAGTCTTGCAATAAAAAATATCAATTAAACCTTACAATCAGGAAAAAAAATGAGAAGAACCCTATTATTAGAAAATTCTTAAGAAAAGAAAAGGATCAACTCTATCATCAGAAAGAATCTTTAGGTTAACCTTGCAATAAAAAAGCACCAAGTTTTCAAACCCCACAATCAAGAAATTTCATGTCAATCCTCCAATCAATAAACACCAAATTCAAACCTTATAATCAGGAAGAATCAAGTCAGCCCTGCAATCAGAAAGTACCAAGTTCAAACCCCGTTATCAAAAAGTATAAGGTTAACCTCACAATCAAGAAGCACCAAGTTCAAACCTCGTTACTGGGAAGTCTCAAGTCAACCCTGCAATTAGAAAGCACCAAGTTCAAGTCCTCCAATTAGGAAATATCAATTAGACCTTACAATTAATAAGAAAAGTGAGAAGAACCCTATTATTAAAAAATTCTCCAAAAAAGAATAAGAACAACCATGTTTTCAAAAAGAATCTTTAGGTCAATCCTGCAATTAAAAAGCACACGATCAGATCAACCCTACAAATCAAGAAACACTAAGACTACAATTAATAAGAAAAAAGTGAGAAGAACCCTATTATTAAAAAATTCTCCAAAAAAGAATAAGAACAACCATGTTTTCAAAAAGAATCTTTAGGTCAATCCTGCAATTAAAAAGCACACGATCAGATCAACCCTACAAATCAAGAAACACTAAGAAATTCAACCTTGCAATAAAAAAGAAAAATGAGAAGAACTCTAATATTAGAAAATTTTCAAGAAAAGAAGAAAATCAACCTTATCATCAAGAAAAATCTTCAAGAAGCACCGAGTTTATCAAGAAGAATCTTTAGGTCAATCCTACAATTAAAAAGCACTAAGTTTTTAAACCCCACGATCGAATCAACCCTACAAATCAAGAAACACTAAGAAATTCAACCTTGTAATAAAAAAGAAAAGTGAGAAGAACTCTAATATTAGAAAAATCTCAAGAAAAGAAGAAAATCAACCTTATCACCAAGAAAAATCTTCAAGAAGCACCGAGTTTTCAAAACCCCGTGATCGAGAAGTAACAAACATTTTGCCAAATTTAAAATCACTTTGTAAAGTTATGTATTTCATGCCTAATTTACTTAATATCGATATCTCTTATTTCTATTGATTTGTAAATTGATGTATTGTATTTTGTGTTTTTAGAAGTTTATATAAGGGATCTTGTTATAATTAAAGGTTTCAAAATGATGAATATGCAGGTGAAGTGATTTATAAAGCATATGAACTAGAATATGAAACTATTTGTTTAGAAATACATGTTGGTGTTGTTCGGCCCCAAAAGCCCAAAAAAATAAAATTAGGTTTTGTTGGTTTGATTCAAAAAAATCAAACCAAATTACACCAAAGTTAATTTTAGGGGTTGGTTTCCGGTTCATTTTGCTTTTAAATCTTGAAATAAAATCTCAGTTTGGTTGTTATTGAATGATCACCTCTACTTTCATTGATATAGCGTAAAGGATGTTTTGGCTATAAAAAGCACCACACATGCTGTCTAAATATTAAGGGTGTCAACCACGTTTTATTTTTTTTATTTTTTATATTTATTCAAATGATAAATTGCTCAAAAATCATTATGAAAAATACAAAAAAAAGTATTTGGGCACAAGTTTTAAGTTTTTTACTTCTGACGGTATTTTGGTCTTTTCACTATATTTTTTGTTTATTTTGTTATTTTTTATTTTTACTCAAATATCAATTTTTTTCTTGTATGACCTGATAAAAAAAAAATCATGGTAAAAATATAAAATATCTCTTGAACTCTAGTTTTAAATTTTTTACTTTCAAGGTATTTTAATCGTTGCACTATGTTTTTAAAATGATAAAAAAAAAACACCTATATATTCTTGATTAATTTAATAATAACAAATAGATTTTGGCACCTTAATAGTCGGTTTAATGTCTTTTAGTGTGAAATGCAAAGATATCATTACACTATTATAATAAACAGTGCAAATAGGTTTGTGTCCACAGTGTTTTTTTCCATGACTAATTAACTTCTTTTAATGTTTATAAATTATAAGTTGAGCATATTTCTATATGCTAATTATTGGAGTGCTTATATTGTTGCTAGGCTGCTCACATGTAAGTCTGCAGCAAAAGCACCGTGTTTGAACATCTTGGTTTTTTCTTTTCTTTTTTGCACTGTTCTGTAATTGCCCCAATTTGAGTCGAGATACATAAATAGCTTTAGACCCAGTCTTTGTCCTCGATCCAATGAAACAAAACATGAAAGAGAAGAAAAGATAAAGGGCATAAAAAGCCAAGTAGAGGACCTCTTTTGATTTTTACTTTGATGGCAATGGAGGCCATATGTTTTTGTTCCTTCCTTCTTTTACTTGTATGCTCTTTAGTGTTTTGATTGCCACGAGACTTGAAGAATCTCATGCAGTTTAACAAGCTCGAATAGACCAAAGACCAAAACAGTACATCGACCCCACCAAAAGAATCCATGGAAAAGGACTAACACAAGATGCGAGAGCAGTGCCTTTCACTTTATTTATTCATATATTTTCATGGACTGAATACCTTTAATTGATGGATTCACTTTAGTGCTTCTTTTACTTGTATTTTTGCTAGTAGTTTTGGCAATTCATGCCGCCTTTTGTTATAATTATAAAAAGAACTGAAGAACATAATTAGAACATGAATATATATTAACAAAAAAGTTGGAATAAATAAGAGCCCAAGGTGGATTGATTGATAGAGATCGGTGCATGTCCTCTCTCCATGCATGGCTGCTCGAAAAGATAAGTTTGGTTTTGGAATTATGTTCCATGTTCCATATGCTTTCTTCTTTGCTCTAGCAAGCTAGCAAATCATGATTGATATACATCCCCGTCTTCTCTCTCACACTTTAATTAGACATTTTTTTTTTAACAAAAACATGTAAAATTAACGCTAGAGTATAGTTTTTGTAGAGGCTACCTAATCTATCTTTCCCTAGATTCTTTCGAGCATAGTTTGTGTGACAAGCTTCTTTTCCTTTAACCCCCAAAAGATCTCTCCCGTAAACAATTTGTGGAAGTAAAAATAAATAAATAAAAAGACTTGATGCTGGCATTGTCAAACAAATTCATCACGACCAGGAGAATTTTTATAGTCCCATTTATAAAGAATACATGCAAGACGCACAGCAGACATCTTGCCTCATCGTTTTGCTTGCAGAAGCTTCTCAAGCTAAGATGCCTAAGCTCGTCCGGGTGGTCGTTTGGAGTTCCCAGCTCTCCTGAAACAAAAAGAATATAATGATAAAAAAACAGAAAAGAACAGAAGCAACTAATAATCATGATCATCATGATCACATGGCTAATTGTTTTAAAATGTCTATTAATTAGTTCTATCGTATATATCTAGTTAACAAAATGGAAGTGCTAATTACTAACGAGCTTGCTTTTAGTGCAAACAATTCCGAAACAAGATTGCGTACTTTGAAGACAGTAGAAGAATTTCCATTTCTATAATGTTATAAAATGATGCCCTGATAGTGTAGTTTACTTTAGCATAATGTGTGTTTAGTATTTTGATAGCTTTTGAAGTGCAGTTTTAAAAGAATAAATTAAAAAAAGCTATAAATTATAATTTTTTTCAATTAAATAGAGTTTTTAATAGAATTTATGTAAAATTATGATGTGTATTAATCAATTAAACGCGTGCAGATCTATAATTGGAGTAAAACACAAACCTCACCTCACCTCACATCACACCTCAGCCTAATTTAAAGCACTTTTCCATGCATGCTTTTCAAGTAACCATTATTTGTTTGTAATTACAATCGGTTGATGCATGTAAATGGACAAAGTTTAATGAAAAGGGTAGCATAAAAAGAGTTAAAGAAAAGACACCATGAAAAGGTTAATTTAAAGGCCTCGTAAATGTGGAGAACAAAGTAAAATGTCTCTTGGCTTTGAATAAACAAGTCTCTGGGTGACGGATGGAATAAAGCGAAGACACAAACTTTATTTGCCTTTAATTTGTAATTCAAACTTGTATAATGTTTCTATAATCCTTGCTAATCGCTGGAGATCAATGTAACAGTTTCTTTTTTATATATAGTGAGAGATATGACATCAACTTAGACTAATCTCCTGTTTCTTTCTCCATGCGGCTTGTACGTTTTTGCCTCTTGCAGGAGCACATGGTAATATAATATCTCATGGATTATCAATAATAATGAAAATATATAAATAAAATGGACTTTCTCCCTAAATCTAATATATGGTTCGCTTGTTCACGTTGTGCACTGTATTAAAAGCATGAATTTCATGTTTTCATGTTTTTAACATGGTACATATTATTTTTTTCAAATTTTATAAAATATTTTATTTTATATAACTAACGAATAAGAAGGCAAATAATGAAATAATTTTCACACAATATAATAAATCCTGGTTATCAACAAATTATAGCTTAATTGATATCAGTATCAGTGTCTCCTCTATTTAAAAAAATCCAAATTCAAACTTCTCGAGTGTAACAACAAAGAAAAATCTTGTTTACTGGTAATATATATATATATAAATAAATAGATAGATAGATAGATAGATAGTACACAAGCTAGATTTGAAAACTGAAAAATAAATGAACAGATAGATAGATAGATAGATAGATAGTACGATAGATAGATAGATAGATAGATAGATAGATAGATAGATAGATAGATAGATAGATAGATAGATAGATAGATAGATAGATAGATAGATAGATAGATAGATAGTACACAAGCTAGATTTGAAAACTGAAAAATAAATGAACAAACACATAGATAAATGAAAAACGTAGAATATCCATGCACATATAAATTAGGCTATAAACAGGTTTCCTTCCGCGAAAGAGTTGTTGCTGTATATGGTGGACGTACGTACCTGTTGTGAATAGGATCTGGACCGTTAGGAACTCTTCTCTTGCTCATCATGTAGTTGAGATCCAACTCCGAATTGTAAACAAGCTTCTCTCTTCCTATCACATCCTTTTCATGATCATCTTTCAGGTCATTTTTAGTAGCCTGAACACTATTTAGCCTGCTGGTTGTCATTTTGGACGTTGCTCCACCTTCCAAGGCTCCAACCAACAAAAGCATTACAAACACCACCGTTGCGACCCCCCCGAGCAACAACTTGAAAGACAAAGAGCAACTGCTACCACTGCCACCCATATATTCTCTTCTTCCTACCTAGCTTGTAGGTACTTACTGGGGTACAGGTGAAGGACAAATCACACGAAGATTACTAATTTTGCTAGATTTCTTTGATGCGTATGCATGGGACTAGCGAGAAGAGAAGAGAGGTTGAGGGGCAAGAGAGCACTGGGCCAAGGCAAGAATTCTTCTTCTTCTTCTTCTTCTTCTTCTTCTTTAGAGGGGTTCTTACTTTGAGGATTAGGGTGGGTTGGTGTTCTTTATAGGTTGGAGCGATTCTGCTGCACTTTCTCGAACCTTGGGAAGCAGAGAGAGAGAGAGAGCTAGGTATCTAGTTGGGTTTCGAACATTACAAGGAGGGAACGTACGCCTTTATAGTTTATACTGTTATATACTGACGATAAGGTCCCAATACTCTTTAATTTCCTTTTGCTTTGACATTGTGTATTTTCATGCAGCTATATATATATATATATATATATATACCTACCTTACCGTACCCAATAATTTAGTGATGATAATGATATTAACAAGTAGCTAGCTTATAACCCTTTATTTGCTATCATCCCTTACGTACGATTGGGAGAAAGGAGAAATGAGTTTGAAGCATATGCGAGTGTAACATGAGAATCCTTACATCCCATCATTGATCCTAGACAACGGATCGACACATGCTGCATAGTGGCAGGAATCACCCTTCATTACGTAAGGGACCAATTAAATAGAGGTTTAATTTTGCATTAAAAAATAAATTATAGCTTAATTATTCACCAATATTCTTAGGCAAGCAAAATATATACCACCTAATTACAACATGTTATGCTCTAGCATGTATAATTATTAGTTAGACTCTTCGACCTCGGAGGAGACACCACCGCCCGCTGCTTGGCCTGTAGGATTGACGAGTAATTAGCTTTGGTAATATAAATATATTTGGGCGATTCCATGCAAGCATACATGGTGTCCACATCTCCTATTTAGTACTTTACAAATCGGCCCGGCATGGTCCACGTATATATGCCTTGGTCACTTGAACCACTCTTAGTTGGAACTGCTATGAATTTAATACATCACATTATTTTGATGGTAGGGAATAAATAAGTTAGATTTGATCAGTATGTGTATTTTTTTTATTTTAAGGGATTCATTTATACATTATAAGATAATCTTAATAATAAATGATGGCCTTAAAGATTGAAGTCAAAATCATCACATGCACCAAAAAGAGTAATTGTTTTTATAAGTAGTAAGAAATCTTTGCATAATCGAATCTGTGCCGGGAACATTGTTATTCATACCTGAACTTGTACATTCATGAAAGACTTCCTCCTTACAATCTCTTCTTACATCTCAGAGGACGGGGGAATATATTGCAAGCTAAAGCATATAGCACATCTTGTCTTATCCATTCCATTTGAATCTCACAGTAGAGACCTAAAAGTTGTGTGTTTCGAAGAATCCAATGCTTCACTGTAGCATTAGCTTCTTATTGAAGGTACGGACTCTATCTATTTAAGAATTCAGTCTTTATGGGCTAAGATACGGATGCTGCTCGAACTGCGCATGCTATTATTGTTCCATTATATACAAGTTACTATTGTTCTTGACATCCCATGTAAAGCTAGCTGTGAGGAGGAATTATGGAACTACGCCGCCTTTCGCCATTTTTCTTTTCCAAGGACAATACCCTTTGCAATATTCCATTACCATTACAAGTAAATTGTCTCCCATGTTGCGAGAGCATTTTGAGTAATTGAGAGTGGTTTCTTGCACTACTTTAGTTTCAATTTTCAAGGGTTTTGTTATATACTTCTCTTGTTAAATGTAGACATAGTGTACGAGTTTTATGTACTTCATCAGAAATGCGTTGTATAATCTTTTTATTCTTGAAAAATCATTGTATACCATCAATGTTTTCAATTGTGGTTTGGTTTTTTATTTCTTAGAGATAGTTTTGAATTCTATTTGATGCAATACAATATTAATTGACAAAATGTATTATGTTTGAGTTTGAGCAATTTTTAGACACGTTCTTGAGTTAGCTTACAATAGTAAGACTATATAAGCCATCTTTCCAATAAGGTTTATTATAAGTTGAATTGATACATTATATACAAGATTATCATGTAAGATTTAATAAAATATTATTTTGATTATGTGCAAAATAGCAGAAGATCCATTATATATGTGCATTCTGACACAATAAATATCGAAATTCTTACATTAAATGCTGAAAAATCACCTTTTTTTTCTCCATGATGATATATAAACTTATTTTTCACAATTGAAAATAAAGCGTGCTGATTTTACATTACTTAAGAGGGAACCTTGGTATTAGAGCTAAGATTACACATGAATATGTAAACTATTGATTTCTTTACAATGTGATCCTCTGCTTACAGCCGTGCAATCATGACTTCAAAAGGTTTTCAATATATATATATATATATCATGAGCAAAGTTATGGGATCGTGGTCATACCACTAAGTATCATCATGAGCATCGCATACAATATTAATCACTTGAAGCTCCCATGAAATTTTTAATATATGATCAATTAATCCTAATAATCAAGAGAGAAAAATAAAATGTTGGGAATAAAATCCAATTATTCTTGAGCCTTCTGTTGTACAAAACAATCGAGTTGGCATCCAGACAGGCAGCGCAATTTGGGTGAAATTGTCCATGTCATTAGATTTCTCTTTATCTTTCAAGATATGTTTTGGAAAAGCTACCATCTTGATGGAGCAAGAATCACAACTATACTATGGGATAAAAACAACTATTTACTCACCAGTGCTTCTTAAGTTTAGAGACAATAATTGCAACAAAAATACGGACTTTATTTTTAACAAATTCTCTGTCTGGCATCGACTCACCTCTCTTCAATAATTCTTAGTCCATGATTCCTCGTGTAATTAAGGACTGTGTTATACGGCACTTATCTTCCATGTTTCTTTCAATGAGAAAATCTAAGAAAAAATTTGGATATGTTTAGTCATAGAAATTAATCAATTTTCATCTTCATTTCTAATGGGAAATATGAAATTGTATTTGTTTGTCTAGGAAATAAAAAAAATATTTTATCAAGAAAATAAGAAATATATTGAGGTTCTAACTATTTTTCATAAAACCTAGAAATATTTTATCAAGAAAATAAGAAATATGTTGAGGTTCTAACTATTTTTCATAAAACCTTGAAAACATAATTTATATAGCCATCTTAATTTTTTTTATTTTTGATAATCTAACTATAGAATGTTGCTATATTTCTTTCAAGTGAATAGTTCTCGTGAAAATTTTAAGGTTATTAACTCCAAGAATAAATTATATTATATTTATAATAAAAATTGTTAGTTATTGGGTTAGGACTAATCCGTCCATGATACATGAATCTGATCCAAGTTATTAGATGAGTTATTAAAGGAAGTAATTGCTTCTTCTAATTATATATAAAGGGACATAACCTATATGGATAGGTTAAGTTTTCATTATTAAAAGAACATAGTTCTCATTTTCTCTTCTTCTATTTTAATTTTAAACATCGTTCTCATTTTGTCTTCTTCTATCTTGATTTTATGTATTAACTTAACAAGATTTACAAAAATGTTCATACTATGGAATATCATTTTGGTTCTAGTAATTAATACTATGAAATATCATTTTGGTTCTAGTAATTAAAGTGGCACTAAAGTAATTGATCCAGAAATTAAAAAAAAAAATTCTCACAAGTTTTCCTCTACAATCTATATTGGTATCAAAGCTGTGGTTTTTAATATTGTTTTTATACAGTCTATTTATTATTACATGAATGATAGATGTAAATTTTGTGTTAAAAGTCTACTTCCATTGAGAATTTTGAATGTAAAAAATTTTATGAAGTAATTTAGTTATAAATTTATTTTTTTTATAATTAATTAGAAAAAACTTATTGTGTGGTAGTTGTATAATTCTATTATCAATTCATGTACAAAATGATGATGGAAATGGAGATTTCATATGTGAATTGACGATGGAAATGGAGATTGAAAACTGTCATTCCATTTCCATTTCCATTTCTAATTGAATACAATTATATAGTTAATTGGACTGTCATTTGATAGTTAAAAAAAAACTATGTGAATTGATAACGAGAAAGGAAAATGGAATCTTCCCATTTCCATTTCTATTTCCAATTAACTATAATACTTGTAGTCAAATGAGTTGAGAAAAATAATTGTCTTTTGGCAGTTGAACAAACAATTAAAAAAATAAGAAAAGTAACTGTCATTTGGCAGTTGCAAAAAAAATAAAATAACACATCTCTTGAATTGTAACTGTCATTTGGCAGTTTAAAAAAATTAAATAATAATAATAATAAGATAATTAGTATTAATTTATTGTTAATATAAATTATTTAATTGTGGTGTCAATTTATTTTCTGTTAAAATAAATTATTTAATTTCCATTTTGGTTAACATTTATACATGCCTTAATTAAATATTAAGTATAATATTTATATGCTTTTGGAATATTTTGTTGTAGTGGATAGGCAACAACAAACTGATCATTTATTAGGTAATGTCTTTAATCTTGTTTACAAAATTCAAGAGCACATTGATTATATATATCAATGGATGAGTAGATTAGCTATGAGTGGTGCTTATAAATTCTACATGGAACATCAAATGTTAATCGTTCTCAATTCTCTACTTGAGGAATTGATGTCGGTGTGACTATCGTTGGAATATGGACTGAAATTCTTAGATTTCAATAATCTCGCTGATGAAATGCTACTTGAGAGGGAACGTTAGTATGCCAAAACTAATATACGATGCACCGGAAGAAGCATAGGTTGTTTGGATGCTGCTGCTAAATCCATTTCATGGTTTGAGCAAAATGAACTTGGAAGAGATGACTTTAATGAAGTGGATAACGTAATTGGAGACCTTACTTATATGCCTATAATATAAAATAATTTTGAAATTTATTATTCTTAATTGTATTTTTTTTACGATGATTGGTTTTTTAATTGTGAACTAAATATTTTATGTAATTTAAGTTTAATTACATTATATGTCTATATATAATAATATTTGTAACCTGATTAGTGGGAGTTGTTAGTTTAAACTAATAACTATAATTTTGCACTCATTTAAATTTCCAATAACAATTAGACCATACAAATGGAAATTGATTAAGTGTTTAACATTCTTTTTATTTTTATTGTATATTTTAGATTATTATTTGTTTAATTTAAAATAGAGTGGCAAAATATATCAATTAAATTGTACTAGATACTAATATTTGTAATTGCCATTAATAGTGTTTAACATGGTTGCATCTAAAAGTATTATTGCTAATTTGAACC